CAGTTATGTGAAATTTAGGGTAGTTATAGTTATCTTAATAGTAAAATAACAGGGTGTGTTGGTTAGGGCTGAAGAGGGACGTTGGTTTAGTGTCTATATATACATATGTAAAACGTTGTTCTTGGTGTTTTAATAAGAAACCTTTATTTTATTGTACAAGAACCTGTCTTCTTCATAAGTTTATTTAATCTCTCTCCTATAAACTCGGTGTTTTATTTGGTTAGGTTCCAACAAAGTGGTATCAGATCATATAGTTTATGGTTCAAGAGGGCATCTAGAAACGTTGTCTTATGATTGAAGCACTACAAAAAACACAGGAAAGACAAAAGAAAGAGAAGGAGAGAAATGACAAGATGAAGAAGATGATGTTGTTCTGTCGAAGGAAGATTTTTGAAAAGTGTAATGAGGGCCTCCGAAAAAAGAGGATGGGTGGAGGTTTCTGATTGTGGATAAAGATCACATAAAGGAAGCAAAAGTGAAAATTAGGGTTCGAGTGGGAGTTCTTCAAGCAAGGTACCCATGACGAACAAGAATCATGAAATCTTTATGTTTCGTCTCTGTTCCAGATACAATCTTTGATTGGGATTTTATTGAGGATCGATCATATAAAAATTAACAGTAAAAGTATGGGAAAGCCTACAACAAAAGACAAAATTAATCACGTGGTAGAAAAGCTACAAAATTTGGTTGAAGGCTATATCGTATTTTATTCAAGAAAGGACAACCCATGTCCTTTGATTGTCAACTTCAAGGTAACAAAAAAAGGGATGGATAATTCATTATTCATTATTTAAATATATCTTGGAAGTGCTACCAAATTTTTCTTAAACATACAATCATGTAAAATATGTTCACATATGAGATTAGGTATTCAAAAAATGGGTTTAGAAGCCTACCCTTGTCAATACTCTATCTGTTTTTGAATTGTTGTCCCCGTTCAGGGGATACTTTTTAATCATCTACTTTATGAATACTCTATCTGATTTTTGTTTTCTGTAGAGTAAACTCTAAACCTGAAATTATGTTTCAACAACATCATATCTATTGATAAAAGCTGGACTAGTAATCTGCATCGAAATTATCCTGAGTTCCAAGTAGGACTCAAAGCTTTTATCGAGAAGTTAAGGTCACGACATGATAGTAATGGTAAACTTAGATGTTGTCAGTACAGTATCACAACAATTGTATAATAGTAATCAAAGCAACAACAATCATCGTATTAATAATATAGAGTTTACATTGTATTCGATTCACATATGATTTACTCCAAAAGTAAGTAGCAAAACAAAGACTTGAAGCTACTATGCTCCGTCTTCTCAAAACCTGTGCGTGTACCTATCTACTAGTTTCCTGAGAATACAAGTGATTTTGAAAGTGTATCAACACATAATTTGGTGAGTTCATAAGCATTTTGTTTTAGAAAATAAGTTCTTTGTTCCTTGAAAGTGTTTGTGTGTTCCTTCAGAAAATCCTATATTTTCTTAGTAAAATGGAAAGTAGTCTTAGGCCTTACGACCAAAATATATATGTTTCTTATGCTTGAAGAATAAAATATGACGCTTTGAATTAATATAAGTAATGTAACCCATTTTGGTCCTTACTATGGTTCCTCAATGTGTACTAGTTATATATAAACAAATATCGAACGAACAGTTGATTGTGTGATTCTGCCCTAAGCCCACAACCAAACAAGGAACAGGAAGTAAGGCGAAAATCACACATTCCACTGCCTATCGGATATTATTTATATATAACCCTGATGTATAAACTAAGAAATCATAGTATCAACAATAATGGTCCGAACCGAAGAGTAAGTAATCGTATTTGTTTCCAGAAAGTTGAATTGTAAACTGTTTGCTTGTAAAATAATGATGTTTATCCTGGAAAATCCTATATTTTCTTAAAGGTGAATTGTAGTCTTAAACCCTAAGACCAAGTTGTAAGTGAATGTTGTACTGAGTGTAGTACGTAGTTTTAAATCTTTTTATAAAACTAATGAAGTATAAGCTTCCCGTAAACCAAGTAGTTTCGCTAATCCCTATGTGAATGTTGTAGTATATTTTCTTAAAGGTGAATTGTAGTCTTAAACCCTAAGACCAAGTTGTAAGTGAATGTTGTACTGAGTGTAGTACGTAGTTTTAAATCTTTTTATAAAACTAATGAAGTATAAGCTTCCCGTAAACCAAGTAGTTTCGCTAATCCCTATGTCAGTTATTATAGCCATGCTTGATATGACTGATATGCCTGAACGACGTTCTTCAGGCGTCGGAATTGGTAGACATTTGTCACCCTAGACTTACCGGTCTTACTGTAGCGAACAGCTGAGGTGTGGGGTTGTCAATCCCGTATAGATATATACACAACGGTCTCGCTCTCCCTCAAGGAGACTCTGGTTATAATATAGGACTTAAGGTGTACGCTAGGTAGTACGGTGAAGCAACATCTCACAAGAAAATTAACATATTTACGTGAACCATGACTCCCTTTTTCTCGTAATATTAAATATTATACTTTTAAGTAATTATATGTATCCTCTGAAAATAATCGTATGGTTGTGTAGCTGTCAAAATACACTGTTTAAAGTTTAACTTGGTTTGTTTGAAAATATTCATATAATCCTTTATATAAATGTGTATGTGTATTCTTATCTAGTATCAAAATATGAAATTCAAAACGTAATGTTTTTGGGGTGCAACTCACCAAATTTGTAAATGACTATAATGTAACCATTTTTGCTAGAAAAGTTAACTTTTAGTAAAAGTTTCCAAAAACCTGTAGTTTTACAACCATAAATTTTCTTATGATTTTAGTTGAACTCACCTTGAGTGGTTGATGTGTGTAGTTGAAGTGATGAGATCAAGGTTTTGAGCCTAAAACACTTGGAGTGTTTGATGAACTCTTGAAGATTATGATACGCTAAGGTTGTCAACACATAATACTTTTTGTAAATAGGATGAAATCAACAAAATAATGTGTAGAAGCAATAGCCAAACTCGAAATACTTACAAGGATCTAGGGATGATACTTGGAGAATGTTGATCTTGAACGATCCTAGGTTTGTTCTTGAGAAGGTTTTGAATTGTTTTCTAAGTGAAGTGAGGGAGGGATTTTTGAGAGAGTATGAGTTAATCAGAAACAAGATGAAGGAGTGGTGAGGTTTAGTGAGGATAACCTTATTCAAATAAGAGGAGTAAGGTGGATGTGAAGTTTACTTTGAGGACTGTTGGTTGCTTCCTGGATATACGTTGAATATTATGCAGAAAACTGTGAATTGCATGGGAAATAGAAATGGGTATCACATCTTAAGGTCAACCTTTCTTGTCTTATCCTCATCTTATGATCGTAAACACCTTTAAACACTTTAGTATGAAGTTGTTTTCGGCCTGGATGCTTCCTAGAATGGTGTTTTCGGCCATAATGGGGTCCTTAAGTGTGTTTGCGGCCAAAAGAAAGTGTTTGCTGCCAACTATGACCGAAATCCCACATATATACTCCCAAAAGAGTGATTTCGGTCCTAATGGACCTTAAGGAATAGATTTCGGTCCCATAAGGTTGGGTTTTCGGCCCTAATGGGCTTTAGGTAATGTGTTTTCGGTCTTGGCTAGAACCTTGAAGGTGATTTCGGTTCTAGCTTCTTAAAAGTAATTGATTTCGGTCCTATAGTGTTCCTAAGAAGTTGATTTCGGTTCTATAGTGTTCCAACATTCTAAAAATCGAAATCCTTAAGTAATATACAATAACATGCATATAGATTTATTACTTGGACTTGTGTTGACTCCTTTGAGTCCTTGATGGCTTGTTGACTTCATTTGCCATTCAAAGGTTTATTACAACTTGGCTATCACAAGTGTACATACATATGAACTTGTATAAGCATGCTCTCTTGGTTATCAAAGTTCCATTGCATCAAGTTATGTTGTGAATTCACTTATGCTTGGTTAGGGTTTAGACCTTCTTGGTTCCAAAATTTCCCAGTTGTGGCAGATGTGCATGTCAAAAATGTGATAATCGTTCCTTCAAGTACCTGACAGCAGTGGAACGTCATATATTTATAAATGGTTTCAGTAAGTCGTACACGACTTGCATCTATCATGGTGAATCTTTAATTCCTCCAGTCGTCTTGCCAAATAACGAAATGACTTATTTAATCGACGATGTGATGTGGGAGTCGAGAGAAAATGATACCAACCTCGATGAAGGAACCTCAAATACAAGGGGTAGCGTGTGGATGATGATTTTGCACAGTTGTTAGAAGAAGTGGAAACAAAATTGTATTAGTTGAACTTTTTCTTCCCTTAGAGTTTCTAGCAAAGTTAATGCATATCAAGGTGAACAACAAATGGACTGATAGTTCATTTGATCTACTCCTTGAGTTGTTGCAATCAGCATTTCCCAAAGACAACAAGGTTTCCCTTTCACATTATCTAGCCAAAAACAAACTGAAGTCTATTTGTCCGTGGTACGAGTCGATACATGTGTGCAAAAACGAATGTTTTATCTTTTGGAAAGAACACAAGTCATTACAGATTTGTCCTATTTGTAAAGAGAGCCGGTGGATCGATAAAAACACCAATGGTAAGAAAGTAGCTCATAAGATGTTACGGTACTTTCCTGTGACCCCTAGACTACGACGTTTATATTGTTCGAGACACACTGCCAAAAATATGATTTGGCATAGTATCGAACGATCAGAAGATGGTGTGATGTGTCATCCTGTTGATGGGGAACATTGACAATATTTTGATAAAAAGTACCCCGACTTCTCGAGTGAACCGCGTAGCGTACGCCTAGGTCTTTTTACCCCGGCGGCATTTTTAGCAATAGCAACAGAATAGTAGTGGTGACTTTTTACTGACGACTTTTCTAACCTTTAGCGCCGACTTTTGTCGCCACTAATTCCCTTTTTTATTGTAGTGCAACTTAGTTTTCTATAATTTACAAAATTGTAACCATTAAAACATCATATGTACATCACTAAATAATGGAGCTGTCGATTTTTTCTAGCAATTAAGGATATTTAGAATTGACACTCTTGTTTTGATCAAGTGTCTGAAAAGGCATTCTACTTGTTCACTGAGATCTAGGAGGCTAAATTCCATTTCTGCTAACCCTTCTTGTATATGGTCTAACACTAAGTAATCTGATTTTGTTTTCTTGTACGTGATTAGAGAGTGTACTTCATGATCCACCTTCTTAACTTCAGTTTCTTCTAGTGTTTGATGGCACTGTGCACGCTGGCTTCCTATCATCTTCGACACCAAAGACCAGCCTTTCGGTTTTGACTGTGTATTTGATCCAAGACTGAAAGTCAACAAGGACTCAAACACTTCCATTGTGTTTACTCTCATTTCCTTCAACATATTGATGTTTGATTTTGTTCTCTGGCCTTCCTTGACTGAAGAAGAACAATGCTTCTGCAAACCTGACAATGTTTTACAAACGACCTTCTTCACTTTTCTCCTCTGTGACAGATAGGCCTCCAATGAGGTTGTCAGCCCATGATTATTGCCTTTTTTGTGTCGAATCACTGACTGGAGTTCTTTGGCATTATCCACCGATATTAACAAGGCATCCTTGGTGGTGCTACACAGATCCAAAAGCCCAAGAAGTTCATCTAAAAACTTGTTTAGCTGTTCTTTGTGGCACCCTTGGGCTAAAGAGTGTTTAGTAGATGGAAATGAAAGGAATGGTTGGATGGATTCATACATATCGTTCAGACGATTTAGTTTATCGCCTACGAATGATGATGACGAACAAGATGAGGTGGGTTCTTGAGAAGCTTGAAATCTGTAAAACTCATTGAATACGGATTGCTGGTCTGATGTAGATGGTAAGCTGATGGACCTGACATGACTATGGGGTGTTATGTTTGAAGAAATAGAAGCCATCTGTTTCTAAGAACTAAAAAATGAGAATAAGATTTCAGTTTATTGTGTTTCCTCTGGTTACAAACATGGTATAAATAGTTGGAGTTTGCTGTTCAATTGTAATGTGATCATGAATTAAGTTTGATTACGTGGCCATGTATACATTGTCTCCCTTCCTTCCATAATTACAGCTCATTTTTCATTATTCTATCCCCTATATTCCAAGCCTTCACATGCCTTAATTAATATTACAACACGAATGATATTAAATTGTTTTTTTTCATTGCATGATCTGAGTTTTGATTTGCTGAATTAGTTTAATTATAATACTCTGATACAAATCACAAGTGGCATTGCATTGTATCATCCATATATATATATATATATATATATATATATATATATATATATATATATATATATATATATATATACCCAATGCACGAGTGATTACATGAATAAATGACCTTTGGTGGATGGTAGGGTTGGGACTTGGGAGACATTGCAACCTGAGGAAACTCTGTATAGATTCTTTGAGACTAATTAATCTAGATCTGATGCGATTCATGTTTTGTGCTGAAACCTAACTTAAGGTGTAGCTTCATTTTCAACGGAAAAGAAAATAGCATTAGGCTGTTTTATGGGGCGAAAAAAAAGTCTTGGAGTAAATTGTGGGACTACGCCTGCTAATCTTCCATTCATCTTACATTTTTCATTATTCATGTGCCATATACACAGCTCATTTCTCATTATTCTATGTCCTATTACAGTATCAACATTTCTCAGTAGGAGACGAGACATTAAGTTGTTTCATTGGATGTATAATCTAGTCATCTAGGTTTTAACTAATTTACTGAATTATAAAATAAAGTAGCCTGACACAAGTGGTATCTGCATTATGCAATTATATAAATATACGCAACGCATGAGTGATTACATAAATACATGGCATTTGGTGAATAACCCTACTTCTGAGTTGGAGACATAATAACCTGTGGGCATTCTGTGGATGATTGTTTAGCAGAATCTAGATCCGCCAACATCCTAGATTTATGCTGAAACCTAATTTAAAGTGTTGCAATTCAAGGAAAAAAATAATTGTTGTTTGGAGAAATTGGTAGACACTAGACAGTGATTTTGGTTCGGACACCTCCGTTTCAATCCTTCGGAGTATTCCGCCGGTGAGTCTATGAATGCCGGGTCGCCGGACATTGATGTTGAAGTCGAATAGTCGATATCTAATGCGTTGAAGACAATCCATCAGATCGACTTAATTCATTCAATCCCAAGTTAATTCTGTGGACCCAGGTGAGTCCGATTCCGGATTTTGAAACTAGGATGGAGTGGTTAATTTCAAAACCAAATTCCATGTTAATTAGTAGTCGATTTTATTCGGGGCAAAATTGGGCAGAATAATTCAAAAATGTAAAACCCGATTGAAACCGAAATAGGTAAATCCGGTTTAAAAAGTCTATATTTTTCATATATTTGTTTTATTTTAAGCATTATTAAAATGGAAATGGTAATACATATGACCCTTAAAATTAATTTTAAAAAAAAACATATCTAAAAGAGTCTTCACCTCTATCTCTATTTTCTCTCTCTCTCTCTCTTAAAATAAAATAAAAAAATAAAATAAAATAAAATAAAAAAAAAAAAAAAACTAAACTTCGTTTCAACCTTATTCTTTTTTTTTTTACCTTAAACATTATTAATTGTTTTGCAACAAGTATATATTCTATCTTGTTATAATAATTTATGTTTTATGTGAGTGTCACTGCAAAAAGGTCGCTGCTAATGCTTCGTCGCTAATGGCTAATTAGTCGCCGCTATTGGCCTATCGCCGCTAATACTTCCCCGACGCCGCTAATACAATTGTGACGCCGCTAAAGACGTCACCGCAAAAATGATTTCCGTTTTTTTTTTGTTTATTTAATATTAAAATAATAAAAAAACATTATATCATTTATAAAATCTGGTACACCTTTATAGAAATATCAACCCATACACAACCAAAAACAATTTAACATTTATAAAATATTAATCCACAATCCAAAATATTAATCCATACAACCTAAAGTATTGTTCCAAACAAAACATTTCATAAAATCCTAAAATTCCTACTCGTCGTCATCATTCTCATCATTTCCTTCATTATTATTTGGTGGTGGCAATGAGCGAAACCACTATTCCAATGCCGCAGAACATGTCGTGTCCTTTAGTATCGTTTGCAACATTTCCAACTACAAAAAAAAACAAAATATATTACCAACATATCATAATAGTATTATACTTTCCAAAAATTACCAAAATATAAAATACCAACATGTCTAACTATAACCAACATAACATTATAGCATTCTACTTTCCAAAAATTACCAAACTACAAAATATCAACATATCAAACCATAACAATATATCATTATAACATTCTATTTTCCAAAAATTACCAAACTACAAAATATCAACATATCAAACCATAACCAACATATCATTATAGCATTCTACTTTCCAAAAATTACCAACTACAAAATATCAACATATCAAACCATAACCAATATATCATTATAGCATTCTACTTTCCAAAAATTACCAAACTACAAAATATCAACATATCAAACCATAACCAACATATCATTATAGCATTCTACTTTCCAAAAATTATCAAATTACAAAATATCAACATATCAAACCATAACCAACATATCATTATAACATTCTACTTTCCAAAAATTACCAAACTACAAAATATCAACATATCAAACCATAACCAACATATCATTATAGCATCCTACTTTTTTTCGTTTTACCGTTATAGCATTATACTTTTCAACTTAAACTAACAATTTCCTGTGATTGTGGTGGTTCTTGTGTCATTGGCTGTTCCTGATCGTACATAGACACAATGGTAGGAGGTTTATGCCCAATGCCTCTGATATAAACGCGTCGAACACCTAATATTCTTTCAAAACATTTTCTTATATCACTTGGTGTTAGACCGCTTGCTGCAGAAGAAGCTTGGGTTTGTTGATTGATCTCCTGGAGTAAAGCATTCTGTATTTTCAAAAAATGATAAACATCATAAAAATTAGATTACTAAATACATTTGACGATATAAACACTTATATGAAAATACAAATTAACCACGTACGTATTGTTGCTCGACCGCAGGACTATAAAATACCCCTTGGCGATTGGAATTAGCCTTACGAAATGCTTCGATTTGAGTGATATCCTATTTAACATTAAAAATTAGATTAATTATACTTTTAATAAACATTTAAATATATCATAACTTACTTCTTTGAAACATGCATTGCTGTACGAGCTTGACCCCCCTCTGTTTACAACTACTTGTTTTGCACATACTTCTGTGTTTGACGCCGAACGCCTTAAAAATTCGGGCGATTGAAAATGTTCGACTGCCATTGCCCAATTTTCAGATGACATACCCTTGGGGGGGGGGGTTGTTTAGTGCCATTGGGATATCTGCAGACCCCCCGATTTGCTTAAAATAAGAATGGGCATTACTTTTTCGGCCTCTGTAAACATTTGCAAGACTCGAATCAATGCTCCTCAACAATTATGCACGCTCCGGATCCAAGTTAACCTTATCCAAATCAAACTTATTCTACAAATACAAAAAAATTAGTTAATTAAATAACAATCACAACTAAACTTAAAATATTATCCAAGTTACCTTTAGATGCACAACTATTGCATTCCTTAACGCGGGGGAAACATTGTCCCAACCAGATACGTTCAAAGGGACGTTGTTCCACAAAAACCTCCTAATTTCATGTGTCAACCAATTACCAGGCTTCCCGACAGGGGAATATGTGATCTCCCTATCGAAAGCCAAATCCACGGGCTTTCCCTTGTTTGCCCGTATCCATTTTCCTAGCTCGATGTTCTTTGACAAGCCCTTTCTTTTCTTTGGAAGCTCGGCTGAAAAAATACAATTAAAAATATTAGTCACGATAACTTATAATGAATTAATAAAAATAGCTAATAAATATATCATAATAAAACTTATCATCCTGTTCATGTTGCCCGCGACCAAAACCTCCTGGAGGTGGTGGATCCCCAGCTCCATCACCTCCGTGTCCAAGGCTCATAACATCAGCCATCATGACAAAGAGTAATGCCCAAGTAAACCTCATTTGCAGCCTGTAAAAGACAAAATTGCAAAAATGGTCCCCGTGTTTTCTTATTTTATGTGGTTATGGTCCAAACGTTTGAAAAGTTGCAGATTTGGTCCTTTTCAGCAAGTTTTATTGTGGTTTTGGTCCCTCATCCGTTAAGTTTAACTGGTTGGTTGTTAACTTTTTTAAAATGACAATTTTACCCTCAAGGACCATTTTCGCAGTTTTGTCTTTTACCACATACCATAAGGACCATTTTTGCATACATTCTTTTTTATTTTATTGAAGTATTATATATTAATAAATATTATTTTTAATATATAATATTATATATTAATAAATATTGTTTTATTGGATTATTAATTTATTTTAGTTGATTTTTTTAATTTTTTTTGTTAGAGTAATTCTTTTTATTGAGTTATTATATATCAATACATATAGTTTTTATTATATAATATTTATATCATAATAAATATATTATTAGATTATTAATTTCTTTTAGTTAATAATTTTAATTCTTTTTTTTTAAATTATTTTTATTGGATTATTTAATTTATTATTTTCTTCATATACTAAATATTGTTTTATTGGATTATTAGATTATTTTAATTAATTCTTTTTAAAAAAAAAACAATTGTTGAAGTAATTATTTTTATTGAATTATTATAGATCAATAAATATAGTTTTTAATATATAATATTTATATCATAATAAATATTATATTATTTTATTATTATTATCTTTTAGTTAATTTTTGTAATTTCTTTTTTTTAACTATTTTTTTGGATTATTACTTTTAATTTATTATTTTCTTCATATACTAAATATATTTTATTGGATTATTAATTTAGTTTTAATTATAATAATAGTTCTTGT